CCCCCCCCGCAGCGTGGCCACGGCCGCAGCGCTGGGTGCCCCGGCATGGTCTCCCCACGGGCCCCCCGGCTCTGGGGGCTGAACGCCCGCCAGCTGGCCCCGCGCTATCGGGGTGTGGACGGGCGGACGGTGCCGATAAGTACGGAGCCGCTCCGCAGCCGTGCCTCCTCGCATTTGGGCCTCGTCCGCTCCCGTTGCCGAGTTCTCAGAAACTGTGGGATCCAAGGTGCTGTCGAGACCTCCGGCCTGCCGGCAGAGTCAGCTGAAACTGGCCATTGCGTTCGAGTCCCTGAGGTGACGCTGACAAAGCGACAGAGAGAAAACACGGGTAGATAGCTTCAGTGTTTTAATGAAAACAGACTGAAAGTAGATGCAAAGGAGGAAAGACAAAAAAAACCCCAGACCAACCACTTTAAGAGTGACAGATGCTGACACTGTACCCTGGCTAGCAGAGGAAACAGCACATTTACTGCAAAAGCTGGTTTTAGCATAAGAAAAATCCACTTTGCCTTAACCTTTTTAATGGGCAATGTACATAATGTAAAAATAGAAGTGAGAAACAAAACTATGCAATTATTTCCTTGCAGCCAGTTTGACGACTGTTTAAAAATCAGAGACTGAAGATTTTATTCACATACCTTAAAAAAATAAAGGTTCCAAGTGCACAAGACTGAGTAATTCAGGTACAGACTTTCCTTCACTGATACAGGCACGTCGTTTGTTTCTTTTACAGAGATATCTTTATCCATTATCTCTGTATAGCTGCAGTGTTTACAATGTCTTCAAATTAAATATTGGATAAGGTGTTTTATTTTTTAAAAAAAGCTGACATTTCAGCATTGTTTTAGTTAACTTCAGAATTAATTCAGCAAGAGCCATTTCTTTTCAAAGTCAATGAGCACAAGTCTGACAGCCCTAGCTTAGATTTAGCTGTTCAGAGGCTTCCTCAGCCTGGATGAGTACTACAGAATTATTATTACGTAAGAAATGTTGAATTTAATATCCATGTAAAACACTGGTAACATTAATCTCTTGCAATTTCTTTATTGTGGGCAATTTTTTTTTTTCAGATAACCAAGTTAAAAATAACAAAAAAGTCTCTTTCTGTGCATCCTTATATGTTGCAGTTTCACCGAGAGCAGGGTCCCGTGCATTTCACTCCCCACCACGGGCCCTCGGTCTGTGTCAGAATTTCTCCTCCTCGCTGTTTCCAGAAGCATTTCTGGAGGGCGCAGATTGTCTAATTTTAGTACCTCGGAGAATCCTCCGCTCTCCAATGAGCGGGCAGCTGCATCTGGGGCTGCAGCCAATTATCCCGGGTTTCCTCCTGCTACGTTTCCCACGATGGTTTAATAATGCAGACTTACAGATTTAAAGTGGCCCCCCATGTTAAGAGAAAATAACATTATTCGTTCCCTAACAAAAACATATCTTTTCACAGTAGTAGAATCTCAAAGGTTTCTTCTAAAGCCTTGGATTCCATAAACCTGACTTTACAATCCTGTGTTAATATCATTATCTTATGTATATTATCTTTATAGTGCTTGAAAAAATATTTCTGATAACCAAAAGGCTGGTCTGAAGCATCTTCCCTACCTTTTGTAGGCCAGGGATGTGACTTTAAGGAAAGAAATAAAAAAAAAAAAAGTATGATTATAATGTAATGAACCATTACAGTTCCGATTGCTTCTCTGGGCACAGCTTTGCTGCTGTGTCTTATCTGTTAAGCGGTTTAACAAGCCTTAGTTGTCTCACTTATTTTTAGCTGGCATAGAACATAACAACACTGGAAGATTGTGGCCACAGGTGTATTTGCATTCTAGTAACAACAGATAAGTAACTTTTTAAAGAAAAATATTGTTTCAGAGCTTTGTACTCCAATACTGCAAGAAGGCGAAGAAACTAATGTCATGTAGACTGTTAAAAAAAGAAGGAAAGAAAAACAGAATTATGAAAATCACAGAATGAAGAAAAGCTAAAGAAATATTACCAACTAGTTGCATTGATTAAAAATAACGCTTGCATGTCTTTTAGCTTTATTTGCATTTTGACATTAAGCACAGAAAAATGTATCTGCTTTAGTAGTAGTTTACTAGCTACACATTTACCACACATACAACTTTCATCCACCACTGACTTTCTTTTTGCCTTGGCCTCTCACGATAAACTGTCGTACCTACCCACAGTACTGGCTTACCTTCAGCACTTGCTTCATCCATGCTTGCTTTTGCAGCGCGAAGCGTCTCTGACGGAAATCCTGTGATCAGGCTAACTTCCTCTCCTGCAAGCCTGCTCTCTCCTCCATTTCTGCCTTCTTACAGCTCAACAACTCTGCTTCTGCAGTTTATCTGCACGCCTGTAATCCTAGCTAGCTTTTCATTGCCGCTGACTAACCCTTGTCAAGCCTTCCTTTCTGCTTTCCTCTACCTGCTATCTCGCCATTTTCTTGAAAGATAAAACTAACAAAGTATTCTCTTACTGCTTCCCCTTTCTACAAGTCTCTAAGTAGCAATAACAAAAATCTTATCTGCACGTCTCCTGTAACTCCATCACTTGCCCTATTAACCTCACGCTATTTCATTTCCTGATCACACCCACTCTTTCATTTGTTCACAGCTGTAGTCATTCAGTCTGCTCTGAACCCCCAGCACCCACACAGATATACTTGTCTCTTATACATTTAAAATTTATAAAAAAAAAGTGCCTTTGGTAGAAGTGCTTCTTGTCTTCTCACTTTTACAAGTCTTCCCATCACATCTCTTGTTCAAGAATCCCCTTCAAACTTGCTTTTGCTTCCTCTTGTCAGCTGAAAGCTTCCCAGCCCATCTTAAACCAATCTCTTCTTTGGCCTTCAGTCAGGTTTAGCATAGCTA